GGTGTCAATTTGGCTCTATGGTAAATTGAATGAAATTCTTCAAAATACTGACAGATACACTCACCGGCCACTTTATTAAGTACACATTACTTATACCGGGTTGGACCCTCTTTTGCCTTCAGAACTGCCTTAATCCTTCATGGCAAAGATTTAACAAGGTACTGGAAATATTCCTCAGAGATTTTGCTCCATATTGATATGATAGCATCACACAGTTGCTGCAGATTTGTTGGGAGGCACATCCATGATGCGAATCTCTCGTTCCACCACATCCCAAAGGTGCTCTATTGGATTGACTTGTGGTGACTGTGGAGGCCATTTGAGTATAGTGAACTCATTGTCATGTTCAAGAAACCAGTCTGAGATGAATTACGTTTTATGACATGGCGCGTTACCCTGCTGGAAGTAGCCATCGGAAGATGGGTACACTGTTGTCATCAAGGTATGGACATGGTCAGCAACAATACTTAGGTAGGCTGTGGCGTTGACACGCTATGGAATTGGTAATAATGGGCCCAAAGTGTGCCAAAAAATATCCCCCACACCATTACACCACCACCACCAGCCTGAACCATTGATACAAGACATGCTGGATCCATGCTTTCATGTTGGTAATGCCGAATTCTGACCCTACCATCTGAATGTTGCAGCAGAAATCGAGACTCATCAGACCAGGCAACGTTTTTCCAATATTATATTGTCTAAGTTTTGCTGAGCCTGTGCAAATTGTAGCTTCAGATTCCTGTTCTTAGCTGACAGGAGTGACACCCAGTGTGGTGTTCTGCTGCTGTAGCCCATGCGCCTCAAGGTTGGACGTGTGTGTTCAGAGATGTTCTTCTGCAGACCTCAGTTGTAACGAGTGGTTATTTGAGTTACTGTTGCCTTTCTACCAGCTCGAATCAGTCTGGCTATTCTCCTCTGACCTCTGGCATCAACAAGACATTTGCGCCCACAGAACTGCCCCTCACTGAATATTTTCTGGATCTTTTTTTTGGACCGTTCTCTCTAAACCCTTGAGATGGTTATGCGAGAAAATCCCAGTAGATCAGCAGTTTCTGAAATACTCAGATCAGCCTGTCTGGCACCAACAATCATGCCACATTCAAAGTCACTTAAATCTCCTTTCTTCCCCATTCTAATGCTCGGTTTGAACTGCAGCAGATCGTCTTGACCATGTCTACATGACTAAATGCATCGAGTTGCTGCTATATGATTGGCTAATTAGTAATTTGCTTTAACAAGCAGTTAGACAGATGTACCTAATAAAGTGACCGTGAGTGTATTTTTGAGTACTTTTACAGTACTGTTAAATACAAGGAAAGTTTTTCGCTTTTTGGTAAAAGTTTTTTTTTTTTTTAAATATATCTGCATGGAATTGCCCATTTTAATCAGTTTTTTTTGAAGAGCTCCAAATTAGTGCAGGCGTTCATATTTGCAACAATTTGAAAGGGAATAAATGATGAATGTTTTAGTTTTGGTCAGTATTTTAAAATTCAGTGCAAGTTCATTTAAGGATATGTCTTAGGAGGAGATATGCTCAACTCTGCAACATTATCAATCTTTAGCATTCAAGGTTCTGGAAAGTTCAACAAGATATGGCTTAACGAACCAGAAAAGGCATTTTGAATACACAACCACACATCTTTTTTTCTGAGAGCTCCAGGAATCCAATCCTATTCAAAAACATTAAGCAATCATAAAATGTACTAGCAGCACAATGCCCCATAAAAAGACTTAAATCAGTGACATTTTATAACCCAGAACACTTTATTACGCATGTTTGGGTTTATGCATCACCTTTAGAAAGAGGAAATAAAAGAAGAAGAAAAAATAAAGCATATAAGCTGCACAGATTCATGCAGAAAAACGTCAATAAAGTCAACATTCAATAAGAATGAAGTATATTTTAATGAATTACTATAAATAATATTGTGCAGAGTTACTCCAAATATATCAAGAGTGCAAACAGCTTTCCTGTTTTCTGTTGTTGTCAATTTGCCCATATATTTTAGGTTGTGTGACTTTGAAACATTTGAATGTTAAATCAACTACAGGTAAACATCTGCAAATGAATGATATTAGATATGTATTTCTCAGAATTATAATTATCATTAGTTGTGGATGTCTAAAGTCATTTGGTCTGAACTAAAAAGGATTTTTTTGCAAAAGCAAACCCAATTATAATTTTGCTTTTCTACTTACAACTCTAACTTACATGTTATTATTAAATGTGAATTTAGTGTTCAACTCAAGACATTAACATGAGGAAAAATATATATTTTGATGTTGCAGTTTAAACGGTCTACTCATAAATTTCAATAAGTAGGCTAATTTTAAATATACACACACACACACATTTCTAAAAAAAAAAATAGATTGAAATGTATTTTAAAATAAAATACCAAATACCTCGGTTTTACATGTATCAAAATAAACTACAGCATTCAGCAGGCACAACAAGTAACAAAATAAAATGCTGTATTTTGAAAAATACTACAAAATATTTTACAAGGGAGCCTGAAATTTGTTCGCAAAGCTTCCATCAATAGGCCTATTGGATCAATCCCTTCACCATTAAACTGACTTAGTGAAGTAAACAATTTGCTCAAATAACTTTTTTTTTTTCAATAAATTGAGAGTACATACTCATACTACTATTGTTGTGCAGTTTACTCATTCTCACAAGAGTTTTTCAGTTCTTTAACTGGAAGAATCTCCCTTAAGGAACACGAGCACACCATTTTTAGGCGTTTTTTTTTCTTTTTCTAAACTTCCTCTGTATTTCCACCTGCAGCACTGAGGCTGAGAATGATTATGTGCTGTAGGCTGCACTTTCCTGTTTTTGGACTGATGCTTTATTTCATTACATTTTTTATGCAAAGATGCTGATCTTGAATTGTACACTATACTGCTATCACCTAACACTAGTCTTAGCATTGTGCAGAATACTATTTTCAATAATTGTTGATTTGCTGCCAAATATACCCATGCTATATATGTCTGTTATTTCTTTGTGTGATGCATAGATTCCATTCATACTCCTAGCACTGACCACCTTAATATTAATACATTTTCTGTTCTGATCTCAAGCCTGGGCAAATAACTGAGAAAGCACCAATCAGAGGCCGCATTTTTATGACGTCATCATGTAGATTTCTAACAAAGTAATTTACAGTAATTTTTTCTGGCCTGGACTTTAATTTCTAAACACAATTTTACTCCTCACACATTTCCTATTTAGAAAAATATATAATAAATAGTTTATGTAAAAAAAAAAAAATCTTTGTTTTGCAGTGAATGGTTTAACAACAGTTTGCTTTTAGAAAGTCAGTTATTTAACAACAGAGGTTTTTAATGAATTACTTTGAATTTATTTCTGCATATAACATTCCAGTAAGTCCAAATAATGCCTCCATTGTTTTGGGAGCTATAACATCATGAATTACCATGCTCTTTAAAAATAGCAGTCATCTTCCTCCTAAAAAACTTCTCTTTCTGATCCGACAGATGTGTATAGGTAAAATTTGTTTTTCTAATTTAAAAAAAAAAGATAGAAATTATAAAGTTAGATCTATTTTTATTGAAAAATTTGTTACCTTGTCCCTTGTAATCTCTTATTGGAATTTAATATTTAGAGATTTGAAATGGGAAAAAATATGGTCTTTGCAACAAAAATATTTCCTTATCAACAAGGTCAAAGAAGTGTCTTTTAAATTAAATCAACAAATTTGATCATATTAAACAATTTTTGAAAAGTTTCATTCTAGTTTTGAAATAAAATCTTCTGAACCTTTTTTCTTTTATTTTGGGATTGTAATTATGCTGTACAACTTTGGAAACATATTGGCTCATTTATAAATGATAAAATACAGCCAGATGTTTCTGTTACTTTTAAAGAAATTATTTTTGGTTATTATGAATCTGCTTCTACTAAGAGAAATGCTTGTTTTGTTATACATTTTTCTTTGTAAATTCCATATCCACAAATGCATATTTACTAATACCAAACCATATTTTCCAGGTTTTTTTTTTCAACAATTAAGTCATCATTTAAATTTAATTTCATTATCTAAAAATAAGCAAACAGAAATTTTTCATTTTGTAATGACTTTACTTACTGTAATTTATTCTTAAATGTCTTACCCTCAAGTTTATATCATGTTCTTTATTTTTCTTTCTTTCTTTTGTATCTTTTTTCATTGACAATGTAATTTATGTTGTATCGTAAACAAATACTGTTACAAACTTGTCAACTTTTTTATGCAAAAAAAAATCAAAACAGTATATTAAAAATACAAGACACAAGCATTTAGATACAAAATATAAACCCATTTTTATACAAATACAAATTCCAAAATACTATTTTGTATTTGAAACACATTTTTGAAATACTATATATTAACTATTCTATAATATTGTCCATTCCTGCCAACCGATGACATCTTAAAGAAATAAAGCTGATATTGACATAAAGCCAAAGTACCGTACAGAATATTCAAACTTTTTTCATATTACCCGATTAAAAAAACTTGACTAATATTTAGCCATCTGTTGTAATGAAATTCCTATTCTTTGATGTCCAAACACTTTTGGGGCCACAATATAATTATTCATTGAAGAAAGAAAAAGACCACCATTATATCATTTGCCTGTTTTCATAGTTAATTCAAGTCAAACTTATGCAATGTTTTATATGCAAAGGTTTAATAAAAAAACAAAACAAAAAAAAAACTAAATGTGTAAAAAAAATGTAAGGTTGTAAAACACAACCATTTAATATTTGAATAGCTTAGCACAAGACATGCTCACTTAAAGAATCATCAATTTTTAGACCTTTAAATTGATAAAGGGCCCAAGTGCACGTGCATGACAACTCATTCTTTGGTTATATATCAATTCTCAAAACTAACTAAAGCAGGGTGAGGCTCGTTATACTTTGCAGCTGAATCATCAGACGCGTGAAAACATGTTTACCAACTGGTGGTGACATTCATGCTTACCTCGTCCTGTTTCTCAGAAATATCAGTTTGATCAGCGGGTGTGTGTAATGTTGCAGTCCGCTTTTGCTGATGCAAGTCACCCTTAATCGATGGTCCAGTATGTGAAGATCCATCGTTTTCTGGTCCACCAGGAAGACGCCGTGGAAAAGTGTGTGTGCGGCGCAGGTGGGCGCGTTAAATAACGCAACGCGAGATCCGCCTATATGATGTTACATTCCCTTGCTCGTAAAAACGCCTCATCCTCATGCATTGGGCACACTGGTGGAGTCTGCTGGTGGGACACACACACTCACTGTAATTCGAGTCGAGAAATGAACAGAAAGTGGAGCTCTAAGTGCAGACTACGATGGGACATACACCTCACGTCCTTCAGGTGGCGTTTGGAGAATAAGGACGCTGTTTATTTGACTTATTAAAGATATCTGTAGATTTTAAAGTATATGTTTATAAAATATATTTTTTTTAATGATTATTACCTTAAATATGAAAGTAAATCGATGATAAGTGATTTTTAATCCATACGAAGTCATAACAAGTACTCGTGAAAAGTCGATTCTCAAAGGCGCTGAGAAAAGTAACAGACACCGCGTGACAAAGTCGGTTATAATTCGCTTTTGTAAACATTTTAAAGCCATACATACACTTGAAATATAACACTGGGGATCCTAAAAAACAATTTATCATGACATGGGAATTAAAAAAAAATCTAATAATCCAAAATAAAAATATTAGCAAGTGAAGCACCGCCCTCTTTGAGACCCATGTGCCAGCAAGTCTTTTCTACCTGTTAATTTTCCTGCACTTGTACAGTTCGAACAGAACACGTCCAGCGAAGGGACACGCCCCTTTTTCTAAAAGGAACAGTAGCATTTTTTGATGGGTCAGTCTACAGTTTATGGTCACCAATAAATAAAGAGACTAAACTCTGCAATACTTCAAATATGTTGACATTGGAAATATCATTAAATTTAAATAAAAACAATTACTTACATCTGAATATTCCCTTATATCAAAGAGCTTTGAAACTATTTATATTAAACGCTTTGCTCTTATGCAATATTTGTTTAGTATATATATATATATATATATATATATATATATATATATATATATATATATATATATATATATATATATATATTCAAAATTTGTATTGGTTCTCTGCATTGTTTATAATTCCGACTATAATTTGCCTAATTGCTCTAACCTGCCTAGTTAACCTAGTTAAGCCTTTAAATGTCACTTTTGTCAGCTGTATAGAAGTGTCTTGAAATCATATTTCAAATAATTGTCAAATAATATTTACTGTCATCATGGCAAAGATAAGGGGCGAGGCAGTGGCACAGTAGGTAGTGCTGTGGTGACCCTAGATTAATAAAGGGACTAAGCCGACAAGAAAATGAATGAATGAATGAATGAATGAATGAAAGGCAAAGATAAAATAAATTTGTTAATAGAAACTATTATGTTTAGAAATGTGTTGAAAAAATCTTTCTGTTAAACAAAATTGGAGAAGATTATCATTCATATAATTTATTTGCTGAACATTACAATAGACCAATATGAAATCATTTACAGGTTTTTCATAACTTAAATATTTATGGAAGTATTCATTATAAGTATCGATAAAATTCATTTCTGTTTTATTCTCTTTATACTCTATAAAGCTTCTCCTCAAAATGATTCATAAAAACATTTTTTTTTAAATGATAAGAAAATGACTATTGTTCCAAAAATGTTTTCATTTGTTGTGTTTGTAAATTAGGATTATACCTCCAAATATTTATTTCTAAACTCTTATGAAGTATTAATATTGGGTTGTATGTATGTATATATATATATATATATATATATATATATATATATATATATATATAAAATAGTAAAATATGCTGTAAGTATATCTTTTTGTTATTTTAAAAACAAATCATTTAAATTCTCTAAATAATGACATTTATTCATTTTATATGGAAAAAAACTTAACAGTAGTTTACAGAATACATCTAAAATACAGTTTTACACAAACACATGCTGTATAGCTCAAGCTATAAATTATTTTCAAGTGGCTTCTTTAATATTTTCCTATAACTGTATGTATATAGTACACAGGCACTGGGCTGTCATCGCGGGGGGGTTTCTCTGGCTTCTGGAAAGTTTAGTTCCACCTGTAAGAGGATCTGAAGGTCTTGATCATCTGTTTGAGTAAATCACACCTCAACACTTCACCACAGCACATCTGAACTCGGTTTCTTCACAGACGGCTGCTTTTACTGCAGAGGTGAATGTACCATGGGGATCATAATCCTCGACTCCATCTTTTGGATTAGGGGCACTGATAAAAATAGAAATGAACAAATGTGTGTTAATGCTGGTATCTGGATGCAGCCTTGATGATGCAAGCTGAGATTGCATATCTAATAATTGAAGCAATGCACTCAGTAGAGCTAGTGACGTCTCTGTGAGGAGTAGACCTAGGGGTGGGCAATCAAAAGCATTGGATGCAGCTCAGATTGCACCTGCATTAGGTCTGCATCAATGACTGTAAAGGAGGTCTGCATGTGTAAATGAACAGTTTCACTCAAATACAGCAGATGGCGCCGTTTACAAACAAAACACTTTGATTAACCCTTTATAGTTCAGACTGAAACAAACAAAAAATGGGGGATACGATTTTTAAAATGTTTTTTTTTTTTTAAAGGCTGCATTTGTCTAATGAAAAATACAATAAGGCAGGCCTGTGGACAGCCTGGTGAAAGGATCTTTTTTTCTCAAAAAGAGGACATTTTTGCAGTTTATTCGCCTCATTGTCCATTCAGTTATGAGATATAAATACTGCATTTTTAATGACATTTAAGCACTATTTTTAGCTGGATTAGCTTATCGTGTGGTCATCATAACCACATTTTTTGATGTTCTACAATATTTCCTAGAGATTTGGTATTAAAACATATGAAATAATACTTATTTTTAAAATAAAGGTTTACTATATTATACACAGTGCTCAGCATATACAAGTTTACCCCTAACAAATCTGTCTTTTAAGTTCATATTTTTAATAGGAAGCTATACAATATTATATTTGTGTAAATACATTAGTCAGTACTGAAGCCAAATCTAGAGCCTATCTTACAAAATAACTTACGATAAAGGTCCAAAAACTAGTACACCCAAATTAATATGTTATAAAACAAATTTAAATACAAGTTTTAAAAGGAAAAATCAAGAGATGCAAAAAAAGTAAAAAAAAATTGTTGAAATTTTGTAGGTTGTAATTTTTTTTGCAATTCTTTGCTTGAATTTACTTGTATTGTCTTTTAATTTCTAAATACGTTTGATGACAAAAATATTATTTCAGTAAATATATCTGTTTATTAAATCTGTTTTGTTTAAATGCACCAAAGTACATTTCCTATATTCCCTGAGAAATGGATAAAATATTCAAAATGGGTTGTACTTAAATTATGCTGAGCACTGTATGTTTAGGAAACAAAATTAGAATCTGTTAATTTTTTTAATTAAAAACTGTGGCCCTTTGTATTGAGCCAGATCAGTCTCAAAAATAATACATTTACAATATAAAATTCCCACATGCACAGCACAATTTACATTTACAAAGTACAATTTGTAAATTTAAAACACAATTCATAAATACAACAAGCAAATGATGAAATTAAGAATTGAATTTGTGTATTTATGAACTGTGTTTTGAATTTATAAACTGGATTTGTGTATTTATGAATTGTGTTTTAGATTTAGGAACTGAGTTTGTGTATTTATGAATCGGGTTTTGAGTTTACAAATTGAATTTCTGCATTTATGAATTATGTTTTGAATTTATAAATTGAATTAGTGTATTTATGAATTGTGTTTTGAATATGAATTGGCTTTGTGTATTGACAAATTGGATTTGACCATTTTTTAATTGTGTTTTGAATTTACGAACTGGGTTTTGAACTTACAAATTATATTTTGTACATATATCTTGTATTGTGGGTGTATGAATAATATTTTGTAAATGTATTATTTTTTAGACTGATCTGGCTCCATTCATTGTCATTTATTAGGTAAATAACAAACTGTCCAGAACATTGAACTTTCCTTAGTCAGAATTTGGCCCTTTCATTAATACAAAATTATAACATAACAACAACAACAACAACAACAACAACAATAATAATAATAAGAATAATAATAAGAATGTAAGGCTTCATGATTTTTGTAGCCTTTTTTCTCAAAAGGTACATTTGAAAAGTCATGGATAACAACAACAACTATAGCCAAATTAGTATTAAAAAATATATAATATAGTCCGCTTTTGGTGCTTCACACCTTTTAATTGATCAATTTTTGTTTCAGGAATAAGGTCCAAGATTTACAATAAAAGTCTCTTGTAAAATGTTTTCTCTATTTCAAAACAATACAATAGCAAAAGATGACATCACTTATGTCAGATTGTATACTGCACAGCTGGATGTTAGAAAAATAATTGTTTCCACTGGCCAAAACGCATTAGCTGAAGTCACAACAACCTTTTCTATGGGCTATTTTCACAATTAGGATGTTATAGCAGTCAAAATAGGACAAAAGAGCTCATCTATGGGATAAATTGTGGACCGTTGACAGTGAGGTATGGGTCTTTTGAACCACCACTGGCTACGGGCCTGTAAGATCATAACATTGTGAAATACTTGTTCAATCATTTGAAATAATTGTTTTCTGTGTTAAAATATTTTCAGCATCACTACACCAGTTTCAGTGTCACGCAATACTTTTGTAATCATGGTAAATATGCTCAAAAACACATAGGTCCAATCCCAATTCTATTTTTGTACCCCTACCCCTTCCCCATTTCCCTTGGCCCTTGAAACAGAGTGTGAAAAGGAAGGTTTTCAAAATTTACCCTTAAGAAATGGGACAGCACTACAACGCCTGTACATGTCATCATATGTCATCGCAATCTCTTACTTTATATGAGATCGACGATGGTGACTGCTGTAATTATTCCAGTTGCATTATTTTTGGGTATTAAATTCCTTCTTTAGGAAATCTCTGAGGGCAACGATATCATGTTTTCATGACGATGTAATAAGACAATAAGATTGTAACCGCACTGTGCAATTACACAATAGTCATATTCATC